TTAGGGCCTAGGGTTTAGGATTAGGGTGGTTGGGCTCTCGCAAGTCAGGGGTTTAGAGCTTAACGTTTTCTTAGACTAAGAAAGTCTAACGCCTGCCCTGTGGCAATAGCAGCAGAGTAAATACTTGGTGTGTAAGGTTGAGGAGTACAGTAAACAACCTTTGAGCTGTAGGGCTCACGCCCTGCAACTGCCAAACGGACTGCCCTGTTGTTTCATGTCCAGGCTCCGATGTAGCCGAAGCCCAATATGCTGGCCTAAATGATTGGAATAGGCTTAGAGAACTAATCCATTGGAATAGGCTAGAGAACTAAAACTGGATTCCTTTAAGCGCTCGATTCTACACAAAAGGATCTTGCAACACCTCTGCAGTGTTATTTTATGGGACAGTGAAGCATGGAAAAGCGTGCCTTGTAAGTGATCCAGTAAAGCGTTCTGTATACACGTTACTATACGGGTTGCGTTCTGTGTCACGGGGCGGGAGGCATAAATGAAAAAGACCAGGGGTTCGAGGGTTTGGTTTTCTAAACTGCCACTATAAAGAGGGAACCCCAGGGAAGCGCACTAAACCCCAAACACGACAGTCACATAGGACTCTAGACCTTAGTCGAATCCGTCGCAGGGGGCCTGAAGCCAATGGATTTGCATTCGCAATGATACTGTGCTGTACACCTCTCTGTTGGTTAAGTGCATACATTGCTCACTCAGTATACCGCGCAAGCACTAAACCCCGAACCTGCACTTTTCAGCAATTCCTGCACTCACTGTAATGCATCGCAAAACGGTGGCATAAACTCTGTCAAAACACAGCGAGAACATCGCAAAAGCGTTGCTATCGTGTATGAACCCTCATAACACACTCCTCGACCCTAGCAAGGGTGTCCTCGTTGCCCTGCTCCGGCACTGGAGCTGTCGTCTCGGCAAGCCGGTGAACATGCAAATAAAGTAAGGGCCTTAATAATCAGAATAGGGTGTTGGGGGCTCGCTATTATGATTCTAGTATACTATACAATTATTACACCCCACATGTGTTACAGTTTAGGGTCCATGCTTGCTGCCAGCCTCACATGCGGCGAAGCCTGCGCGTCCCCGAAGCCTCATTAGCCAAAGTGCTTCCATCATCGGTTTAAGGTTTAGGAGGGTTTAAGGCTATTTCCTTCCCCTGGGACTGGGAACCCATAGCCGAATGCACCGAACCCTGCATTCTCAAAGCCAAACCACCTGCTCGTTGCAAGGCATAATGTAGGGGCTTCAATAATTAGA